CCGATGTTTTTCTTTCGTAGTCTCATTCCTATCCTATGGGGCGAGACACTGTTGCGGCCCATTTCAAAGCCTTCATGCGATAGTGCTTTCTCCGGCCTTAGGGTTCTTGTCGGCTTCTCTCTTTCTCTGGTGGTGGCATCGACGGCGATGGAGAAGAGCGTAAAACTACATCTTTAGATAGCACATAAGATCCCAAGGGCTTATTTGTTTTTTTTTGTTTAGGGTCTTTTGTGTAAGAAGATTTGAGCAGTTATGCCCTCTGCATTTTTAGCACGTTCATGTGTTTGTATCCCTTTCCATACATTTTTCTTACAAAATAACACAGGTAAGTTCGTATAAAAAAACAAAAAGCTCGTCATAACTTGGCTTGTCTCGTCGCAAAAAAAAAACTTGGCTTGTCTAAAAAAATCTTGCTATATCCCTATGGGTGTATGACACGTGGGTCCTAGCTAGAGTGAAGTTTTGCGTGACCAACTTAATAAGATTTGTCAAAAAACCAAACAATAACCTAACATGATCTAACTTGCCGAAAAAACTAGTGGCAATGTTTGGCCCTGTTGGCATGAAGTTCTGCGAATTTTTAGTGACATCATAACAGCAGCTTTGATGGAGTATTTCAATAACCAAGCACCAGTATATATAGCCAGTAATTTGAGCAGTAAAACTAAAAGTGAAAAGTGGGCGGGAACAGAGTTGGAGCAGGCGGAGCAGAGGTGTGCACGAGTGGGCAGTGCACGCCGCAGGAGATCCAGTGGAATCGGCCGTGTAGTAGGGCCAAGGATTTATTTATGTGCTGCCGCCAACACTCACATGCACTCAGTAGGTGAGGAGCCACTCTTTGGCCAGCCAGGGGCAGCAGGGTCCTGGCCTCCTGGGTCACACCCTCTCTCTGATGCAGCCCTGCACCTCTTCGTAGGAGTATCATCATCCAACCATGCATCTTCCTGAAAGGCCAGCACCGTGTATTAGCCATATTTATCGGCTATGATATAGTATTTTTCATCTAAACAGAGACGTAGCTTGTTAAATCACAGATCTAACTAACCTTACTCCTAGCTACTTGATATGCATGTGAGGTGATTGCTGGTGTCCTGATTTGCTACCGGTTCCATCTGGCTCTTGTAATTGCTCATTGTTGCCTCAAGTCCTTTTGTACTATGCTCAATCAACCCCTCCCACAGCAATGGTCCAATGGAAACCACCCCATGTGCCACCTCAATTGCACTGCTTGCAACCATCTCTCCCTCTCCCTCTCCCTCTCCCTGTATGTGTTTTTTAATCTTTTGATCAGTTTTACTACTAAGGCCCTGTTCGCTTGTCTTATGAGCCATACTATTTTAGAGAACGAACACTGTTTTTCTCTCACAACAAATCAGCGAACAGTACTTTTAGCCATGACTTTTCGGCAAAACGAATAGGGCCTAAGTTGTTTTAAACCTATATATGCTACTTCCTCACTCCAAGAAAGAATACAATTCTGGCACAGTATCACGTTTTAGTATCTTTATTAAGTTTGACTAATTATAGATAAAGAAGTATTAGTATTTATAACATCAAATTAATATCATTAGATTAATTATAAAATTTATTTTTATAATAAATTGATTTGAAACCATAAATATGAATATCATTCATTAAAAATTTGGTCAAACCACTTTAACTGGCACGTAATCCATAGTTTCGTTCTTTCAAGGGAGTACACTACACTAGACTACTGGACATGGATTTATTATTCTACTACTCTAGTGGTAATTAATATCAAATCTATCCATGCATCTAAAATCTCATTGAGCACTGCACTGTGCATGAGCAATCAGTAGCTGGACACGGCCATGTATGCTGCACATGGCGCCGGCCGTCGACCACCCATGCATGCATTCCTTTTTCCATTAGTATTTTTTTTTGTTGGCCATCTCATGATTGATTGGATCAGCCCCACTCACAAACAAATCTCCGTTAACAGGATTGAGGATACAGCATCGATCTCCTTTGAAGATGAAAATATATTGCGCTTAACTTTCTCATGCATGCACCAAATACATGATCACTTAACATTCATGATGTTTCGGTGTTGAGCTTGCAAATTAGTACCCGTGTTTGGCGGTTGACAAGCCCAATGGAGAATCTTGGAGCACATCTCCACTGATACTATAATGATACACAAACCCTTCTGGGTGTGCAGCAAAACATCTAGTCATTGGGTTGAAATGATGAAGGGTTGAGCTATGTAGTTTTAATTTGAAGCCTGGTTTGTACTAGGAGGTGTGAACTAGAAGTTCTTGAATAATGTTTCGACTCCACATCGCATGAGGCGGAGAATTTCGATTTACTCATAGGTTGTATGATGATATTATACATTCCCAAACTTGAATTCTATATATCAACTTTGAAGATTTTATATAAGTATTTAAATTTGATAGTCAATAAATTAAAAAAAAACTACTATGTGAATTCACAACGTAAAAGGTTTTTTTTTATAGAAAATAAGTGATGTTTTAGACATTAATATGGTATAACACTTAACTTTTACCAATTTTTCCCAACATGTCTGTTGTATGCAATAAATGTATACTATCGCGAAAGTACTCTTATATACTATACTGCAAAGATCCCCAAAAAACAAAAATGTTAGGTTATAGTATGACTTTAGAATGGTTAACCTAAGACAATCCAAAATTTCACTTATTCGTGGTCGAGGAGTATATTATTGTGCTTGCTAGTTGGTGTTCTTATTATTTGTTTAGGTAGTACACGATGTGCCTAGCAATAAACCATGACTCTTTCCAAGGCTATAAATAGTGGACTAAGCCATTTAGTGGTGGCCTTTTCCAGAGCTATATTAAGCTATAATGGGATATAGTAGAAGCCGTTTCATTTAATAGTTTTGTAAAAAACATAAGAATTCTTAACTAATTATGCCCAAAAACATGTAACTAGAGAAATTTCATGAACTCAATTACATGTACCGTTATATGCCTCTAGGGGAACATGTCTCAAGTCTATTACTTAAATTTATGAAATCAATCAACATAAGCACAACTATGATTACATCCAAATTAATTCATGAATCAACAAATTGCAATGGTTCGTTACAACATTGATTAAGTAAATAACACAATAGAGAGACATAAATTATAATCGTCTCAAGTAAAGAATGAATATTTGCATCGGTCCATATTAGTGGTGCTAAAAAAATATTTTACGACTAAACCAAATAGCAATGTTTAGTAGAGCTAAAATATCATTAGTAGTAGTAGTGAAACAATTAGCAACATCACAATGGTAAACTCTATGAAAACACTATAATTGGATATTCAAAACCATGCTTTTGTCTGCTCCCAAGATTTGCCGGTCATCCAGACCAAGTTTCTAAAAGAAACAAAAAGAGTGTGCCTATGAACACAGAGTATCTGATTTATCTAATTCACATAAAGCAAAGGATGCAAGTATTTAGCAGTCATCAATAGTACAGAGAGAGGTATGCACATAGTATTTAGGATACTTAGGACATGTTTGCTTGGACACCTCCCAGCAGATGCACAGGCAGTGATCATAGTCCAAGCGTCCGAAATCGAACATATGGAAGCGCTTCACATGTTAGGAAACATTGCTTGGAGGCAATCCAACACAACCACTTAATATCCATGATGCAAAGGTAACAAGCCTGAACGCCAAAATGTTTTGTGTTCATGTGATTAAGACTATGTTTGGATCCCCTAGCAACTAATGATTCATGATTGATATTAGCTGCATAACTATTGGTGGTGATATTTAGATTCAACAACTAAGAGATGGACGCATTTGATGATTTTGGCCTAGTTCTGCAGCACTACTTCAGCAGTACTTTTCAGCGAACGAACGGTGTTTTTCTCTCACAACAAATCAGCATAAACCAAATTTTAGTGAAATGATCGGGGAGTTTAACTATAATACCCTTCTTCTTTTAGAAGCTTCGATAAAAGGCCTGTTTGATTGCTACCGCAAGTTGCCAGACCACGCCACAAACACCTATGCCTAACCTGCGGTAACAGTTAACTAACAATTATCTCATTAAACTACTTTAACATTTAAATTGTTAGCTGCATGTCAATTGATAGTTGATATTAGGTCTGTTTAAATCTACCACGGCTAATTTTAGCAGGTACTATTACGTACAGTGACTGTTAATTGGCCGGATCCAATACCTACTAAACAATTTATATAAAAAGGAAAGAAAAAAAACCCTCCTAAGTTGCCGTGCCGTACTGCATACACCTACTAGTACATGCGGCCGGGCGGTGTGCAGGGCCAGAAAACAAACAAGCAAGCGTGCGCCGCGCAGGCGCGCACACATGGGGGTTGGGTGGGCTTTGACTGCCCTGACCCTGACCCTGACCTGACCTGACCAAAGCGGTGGCAGTAGTGGCACCGCGGCGCGAGGCAGCGTCGTTCCCAAGGCCACTGCACACTGCGCACGGGCACACGGATGGATAGCTCGATCATCAGACGCTGCTGCTGCCGATGCTCCATTGCCGTTGTTGATCTCTTCCGTCTCCGTAGCAGCCCCAGCCTAGCGGGCCGGCCAGCAGGATTCTCATTTCACACACACAACCTGCTCCGCTCTGCTGCCTCCCTGTGCCGCTCTGTGCTCTGACGCTTGTCGTGACCCCACGGTCAAGCCTCGCCTTGGAATGTGGACCCTAGCTCGAGCTCCTCTATCTATTCTGCAGACGCAATTTAAGTGATACACTGTAGAGAAAATAAATGAAATGAAAGAAAACGAAAAAAAAGGAAAGAGACCGGGTGGCAATTCATAAGATAGTGCCTCGGTGACCTGGTGTGCCTGTGGCCTATATAAAGGGCTGCTCGGCGCCCCGGTACAACAGCGAGCAAAGCAAGACCCCTCCTTGCTCTGCCGTGCACGGAGTTGGAGCACCACCACCATTCCTGCAGCAGCAGGAAGCAGCCTCCCCTCCTCTTCCTCCTGCTGGAAGAGCACGCAAGCGAGAGAGAGAGAAGTGATGGCGCTGCTGTTGCTCCTGGTGGCCGTGCTCGGCGTGGTGCTGGCGAGCAGCCTGCTGCTGCGGTGGAACGAGCTCCGGTACAGCCGCCGCCGGGGCCTGCCGCCGGGCACAATGGGGTGGCCGCTCTTCGGCGAGACCACCGAGTTCCTCAAGCAGGGGCCCAGCTTCATGAAGCAGAGGAGGCTCAGGTACCATACCAACCCCGTCCGCATTCCGCTCGCCGTCCCGTCCCGTGCTCTGCCTCTTCATTCACCCTTGTCTGTCTTCCTGAGAGCAGAGGAGTGCGTGCGTCCGTGCCTGCTCGCTTGCCTTCGCCTTGCCAACTGCAGTGTCTGTCACCGGATCAATCATTCGTTAGAAAGAAAGAAAGAAAGTATAGTAGTACTAGAAAGAAAAAATAAAAAATAAAAAGCGGCGATCCGGAGGAGAAGGAAGAGGCGGAGCATCAGTGTCGTGTTCCCCAAAAGCTCGCAGCCCCGCACTGTTCCTGTTCCAGCTCTCCTCTCTGCTGGCTGATTACCTTAGTTCCATGCCATCATCATCCTCCTAAAGCACCACCACCTTATCATACTGCCACTGCTGCCAGACATGAGAAAGGAAAAAAAAAACAGTCTTTCCATTATATACAGAATAATAAGCATAGCTAGTCTAGTCATGGTAAAATAAATCATTTGCTAACAGTAACAGCAAGCAAGCACAGAAGCATGAAGAAGCTTATGGTAAAATCATTGGCATGGTGGCAGGTACGGGAGCCTGTTCCGGACGCACATCCTGGGCTGCCCCACGGTTGTGTGCATGGAGCCGGAGCTGAACCGCCGGACGCTGGCCAGCGAGGGCGCCGGCTTCGTCCCGGGCTACCCGCAGTCCATGCTCGACATCCTGGGGCCCAACAACATCGCTGCCGTGCACGGCCGGCTCCACCGCGCCATGCGCGGCGCCATGCTCGCGCTCACGCGGCCCCACATGATCCGCGCCGCGCTCCTCCCCAAGATCGACGCCTTCATGCGCGCCCACCTCCACGGCTGGGCCGGACGACGCGTCGACATCCAGGAGATGACCAAGGAGGTATGGTAGTATAATACACAGATACACTAGGACGCAGTTGTTGTTGTTATGCTCTCATCTTCTTTTGCTCTGCTGCCTCTCTGATGCTCTTGATGCTGTGCAAACCTCCTTGACTCGTGAGCTCTGAGAGAAAAAGAGAGAAAAAAGAAAAACAGCGAGAGAACAGCCGGCTGGAACAGGGTGACGATGGGAAAAAAAGGGGAAAAAGCAGTAATTCTGTGGGGCCCACGGTTGAAAGATTACTGATTTACCTTGACTATATTGCATTTCAGTGGCCAAATTGCCATTGCTGTTGACGTTGCTTTGGCAACAAATCTGACTGAAAGTGGAATGGGACACATTCCTCTATTTTTACAGCACCTACCGCCACCATTTTTCACTTGCCCTCCGACTCGGATCCAGAGAGGCAATGCCATAGGCTGGCCGACACGGCAGAATGATGGTGCCCCTTGAAAACTGAGGAATTCATCGACTGTTGATTTCAAAAGAGTTGCGAGCAAAAGGAAGGGATCTTCCCCATCCCTTCCTCTCTACCAAAAGGGGAATCTTTGGCTTTCTAGAACCTGTACTGCACTGCTGGATTGGCAAAAAATTATGAGCCGAAGTAAAGGGCAGACACAGGGGAAAGGAAACTCCCCTCCCCCTCTCTTCTCTCTCTCTCTATATACACATTCCAAAGTGCACAACAAACACTCCATGCACCATCATCACCATCACATGTCTCAATGCAAAAGAAACACTTGGCTGGGTGCTGAATTCCATACCTCTTCCATAGCGTAGCATGGCAACTTATTATTATGGAATCTTATCTGCCTTTGTTTTCTTTGTTTTTTTTTCATCAGATGGCTTTGCTCTCAGCTCTCAGGCAGATTGCTGGCATCTCTGCTGGCCCACTCTCTGATGCCCTAAAGGCAGAGCTGTACACCCTTGTACTTGGCACCTTCTCCCTGCCAATCAACATCCCAGGAACCAACTACAGCAAAGGGCTCCAGGTACTGTTCATTGCTTGCATACCTGAAAACATCAGAAGAAAAAAGTTGAGCTGAACTGAGCACTCTAACAACAGCAGTGTTGTCTTTCAGGCAAGGAAGAAGCTTGTGGCAATGCTGCGGCAGATGATCGCGGACCGGAGGTCCTCTGGTTGCGCTCAAGATGACATGCTGGATGCGCTGTTGAGCGGCAACGAAGGCACCAGGGCGAAGCTCAGTGATGACCAGATCATTGACCTTCTTATCACCCTCATATACTCTGGGTATGAAACCGTGTCGACCACCTCGATGATGGCAGTGAAGTACCTATCGGACAATCCAAAAGCTCTTGAACAAATCAGGGTACATATACTTCGCAACCAAGTTCAATTCTACCGCAAAGCGATTAGTCCTATAATCCATGAGCTTAGGGATGATCTGTTGACTGTTGCAGAAAGAGCATCTTGACATCAGGAAGGCTAAATCACCAGAGGATGCCCTTGACTGGAATGATTATAAGTCAATGACCTTCACCAAAGCTGTAAGTTGGAGATGATACACCCACAAAGCAGTCAGAGTAGAATTGTACTATGGACACGACAAACTAATTTATTCTTCTAATATGCAGGTCATTTATGAGACTCTAAGACTAGCTACAGTTGTCAATGGGCTGCTGAGGAAAACAACCCAGGATGTAGAAATGAATGGTGAGAATCCTACGGGATCCATACTTCTACTACTGATAGCGATGCAAATCTCAAGCTAGTTCTAATGCAATATTATGTATTTATTTCAGGGTATGTTATTCCAAAAGGCTGGAGAATTTATGTCTACACAAGGGAGATAAATTATGATCCATTCCTGTACCCGGAACCGATGGTTTTCAACCCATGGAGATGGCTGGTAAGGAATAGAACAAGCAAACGTCTCAGATAATAAATAGGCACCAAGATATGTCACAAAATTCTAACCTGACAATGCTTCCTGACAATAGGAGATGAACCTCGAATCACATCCACACTTCATGTTGTTTGGAGGAGGTGCCCGCATGTGCCCAGGGAAGGAAGTAGGAACAGTTGAAATTGCAACGTTCCTTCACTATTTCGTTACGCGTTACAGGTTTGTTCCTCTCACAAGTTTTTGATACTAGCTATAGAAAAACCTCGAGCTCTTCACTGAAAGACTTGGCGCTGATCTTCTCTTGCAGATGGGAGGAGGAGGGAAACAACACAATATCAAAGTTCCCCAGAGTGGCAGCTCCCAACGGGCTACATATCCGAGTTCAAGATTACTGAACTTGTGAGACGTTTTGCGAAGTTTAGATAGGATTCAGACTCAGATAGAATAACCCTGCGATGCTGATGCTGCTGGCCTCTTGAAAGGATTAGAACAGCCATTGGTGCTTGTAAAATGTGTCCATGCCAATAGGAATATTATAGGGAGGATATAGGTATGATAGGTTTACTAGGAAATTGATGTAGAAAGCCACCAGATGCTCCTGTATTCTTTTGGTCCATCCATTTTCAAATTTAAACAGAAGTATCATTTGGCTTCTATGCTTTTGAACATGATACAGAACCAGCTATCCATATGCAAATTTCCAGCTTCATGAGCCCGTTGAATAAAAAATGCCAATAGCCAACTGATCTAAAAATATGGATGGACACTGACTGCCAAACATTAAGCACATACTGAGGATATGCTAAATTGGTGACTGCTAATTGCTAATGGAGGAACAGAGTAAGAGTTTTACCTTGTTCAGGATATAGATGATAACTGCTTCAATGGTACAGGCTTCCAATTGCTTATATAAAAAGGTAAGAATGAGCTCATGTTAACAATGCAAGTTCCTTCAATTAGTTAGGCAACACATTGATGAAAGCAAAAGCACTCTCTTCCCATCGAAGGTCCAACATAATGGAAGGCAATATTCATTGCTGCTTCAAAAGATGCCAATAGTTGTTTAGAAGCATCACCATTGACAATGTTCGGTGCAAATGAAACTGCATTATCCAACGTACTCCGAGAACAATGCTGTTAATGCACTACTAGTAAATCTCAAAATTGTATATACTACAAGATTTCAGCTTTCGGCGAAGGGCAAATTTTCCCTGGAACAACCAATATCCTTGATCAGCCATGTAAATAAAGAGTGCACAAAAAAGAATCTAACATAGAGTTTTGGTAACTTGATTCTATCTGTTTCAACTCTGTTGCAGTAAAACCTATCATCAGGGCATCCATAATTGGTCATCGCACATTTCACTTAAGTTTAAAAGATAAATGGTTCTGATCGTTTAAAAAAAAAATACTGCACTTTGTTTTCTTAAATTCCTAACTTGTGGCCTACCAGGAACAAATTGTGAACGAGAAAACTCCTAGCACTAAAGAGTATGTTATGTAATTCATGTAAAACTTTTTTTCATACACAAGCTATTACAGATTGCAGGGTAATTTTTCGTACACAAGGACTGAAAAAAAATCGTGAATCTGAAAGTAGAATGTTCAGAATCAATGCTTAGAATCTAATTTAGGTATCTTCTAGCTGAAATACAAAAAAAAAAAATGCTAAAGCAGTCAAGCTTAACAGTAAATGCCTAGCCTAACTGCTTTTCACGTCTACAAGAAAGTGACCAACCCACAAGATACAAATCAGACCGGCCACATGGACAAGAAATACAAGCAGAGTGCAGGGCAACCACATGCATGTACTCACAAGAATTGACATGCAAACTCCATTCTGTAGTGCACTGGCAGAAGAGAGTTTCTGTCAGTCCACATTTTTCCACGCACCATCTATGATCAGAATTCAGAACTAATAAGTAACAACAGACAACGACAGTCGCACGTTGTATGAACAATCGTGCACTGGGCACAAGAGTTGGTACACACTCAAACAGAAGAAGGCATATGCAAAGTAACACCCTGCCATGATGGCATCCCATGTGGTGAAACAAGTACAAGAGATGCAAATGCGTTGTATGTTCCCCAAATTCTGTTGCTCCTGGAAATCAGTGGACTGACAGTTACTGACATGGAGCAAGGCAAGCATATGCACACAAGTCAGAGTGTACAGCCGTCTTATTCACTAACAAGAGAGAGTTTATATTGAAAAGGAAATAGCAATATCATACTAATCGACAAGTGCAAAAGTCTCCATAAGAGAAAAAAACAAGAGCAAAAGTTTAAGACTTTGGTGTCAAAAAACTTCCCCACTTTTATTTGCTTCAACAATGCATCACAAACCTTTGTAGTATCAACATCAAATCTACCATTGCATGTGGGATTGACACGGTTACACATCCAACCTGGAAATCCTTTTCCTAGATGGTTCAAGTAACATACTAGTACATGTGAAGCAATAATGCTTCCTTGACACATCTCTTTTCTTATGGATGACACACCAGAAAGAAGCTGGAGGTTCTGTTAAGAATACTTTGAAAAGAACAATCTCAGGGTCAACAATCATTCTCGACGAAGGGATCTCTGCCAGTTCCATTGAGCCATAAAATTGTATGAAATCATCCCATCAAGCTCGGTGTGATGTTCTTATTTAGCTCTGCTTGAGTTTTTTGTCCTGTACAGTTTTTTTGTTCTGATTCTTCTCTGTTAATAGAAGAGATCTGTTGTTCTGTTCAAAAAGATCTCTGCCAGTTCCATGTTAGATACTTGAGTATTGCTCAGAGGCCATATAAACCGAAATTGTAGCCTCTCTGCAATGTGAATAGATCCCCTGCCATATACATACAATGTGAGAGATGATGAGGTTAAGACACCTGCGAGATACATCATTGACCATATATACTCCTTGATTTACAGTTTCGCTTGCACTTTTGCATATAATTGTATTCATGGATAATAGCTTCTTTCTATCTCAAGTATCTTTGACGATAGCACCCAGCACAGGAATCAACCTTTGAAGCTCTTCATCTTCTGAGAGCCTTGTCGCAAAATGGCGTGTGGACTGAGTGCCAATGTCAACTGTATCTGCATGTTCAGATATTAGAAATTTGATCTCAGAAAAGATCGCCTCCACTTCAAAAATTTCCGCCCATAACTAAAGCTATCTGGCTTCAGATTAAGCATGTCTATGAGGCCATGACCCACAGGTAACACTATTATTAGGCCCTCTTTTATGATCAAACAAAGGCTCTCCTTGAAGGTTCTTCAACAGTTTAAACAGCACATTAGCATTTTGAGAGTGAATGCCAACTTTGCACTGATCCAAGGATCAGTACCTAGAAGATCCTTCAAAAGGAACTAGAACTTTTGGCCTCTCATATTTCCGTTCGTCTGATGCTTATCATAAAATATGCATCCATATCAACTGGTTTGGGACTATATTTTCATCAGTTTGGCATAAATCCTACTCGATTTATTTGACTCGTCCGACTGAATCATGTCGTCCAAGCTTGGTTGTCCATCTTACAACAGAATATATGAACAGTGGTTGATCAGGTGCTGCACTGATTGTATCATCCACGTTGCTCCCTAAAGCAATGACAATATCTTGGCCTTGGGAGCTTGCACTGACATAGGATTCCACAAATGAATGGTGCGTCGGGAAATGCACGCCTGCTCTTGTCAATGACCCAACAAGCTCGGTACTGCCAACATGAGAGGAAAATTAGCAAACGGCTGTTTCAACTGTCAATTTAGGAAAGGGGAAAAAATGAAGGACAGGTTATATCAGAATGAGCATTTGAAGCTAAACAATCCTTTGAAACGGTAATCTGCTGCAGAGGCATTTCATTTCACACATCTGTAGCTGTAGCACTGTGGCAGTAACAATGAGAAGACCCAGAGCAGGGGCACGATAGGATTCCAACAGAGCAACAGTGCCCGATGCTGGAAATTGAAAAGTCGGAGCCGGACAAGAATGGCGGAATCGCTGTGGCCTCGAGGCAAGAACTCGACAGGGTTCTTACAGTAAACAACAACGCCGACAATAACCGCTAAAACTAGTTGCGAAAACTGGTGGCAGGCAGGATAGGAATCAAGGGTTCTACTTGCAAATGTCAGCATGGATGTGAGAAGAAACAACTCGAGTGCCATTCGACGGGCGCAGCGAAGAAGAGATCAATACCTCCCGAGCGGAAAAACTTGGATCGGAGAAGTGCTGAGGAGGCCGGATTTCATTTGATTTGAGGCGGCGCAGGCGGCGAAGAGGAGAGCGCTGCGCCGTGCGCCGACCGGGGAGGAGAAACAAGACGTTATGCGAACAGACTAAGAAAGCGAACTCGGAATACGCCTTCCCTGTTATGGCTTCTGCCCCTTATCCTCAGAACTATGGGCAAATAAGTAATTTGCTCTAGCCAAGGGGTTTTGTTGTTCCTCGTTGCTGAGCAGTTAGCAGTGGGCACAGTCGCTCTTCTCCCAGCAGGACTGGAGCGGCTACTGGGATTTTTGCTACTCCCCTCCATTATGGCTTCTCTTCTTCTCCCTCCGCAGTTCACTTGCTCCCTGCCCCCTTATCATCGAATCAGGTAATCTCTCAACATAGTGAATCCGCTGCTGTACATCCCAATTATCAATGCGAGCCCGCGTGAAACATTCCGGTTTCCCCCCGTACGGTCGCTGCAGTCTGTGGTGAGATAGAGGAGATTAGGAGCCAGAATTGTCTTTTTGTTCATTCTGGGATTAGAAATGCTCTGTCCTGTGATTCACGGACCTGAATAATGTTTGGTCAATTCATTTGGATTGTGTTGTGGGCAGGGGTCAATTGGTGCATTACAAGAACATGACTAAGTCTACAGTGAGGTTGATTAACCGCAGTGTTAGTTTTGCATCAAGGACTTCTCAAGATGCTGTGGATGAGTTAAGCGATGAAAGCGATGGTGAAAGCTCAACTAAAAAGAAAAGAGCCCCAAGACGTGGAAGAAAGAAAGCCACCGCTGAAACATCGGGAGGCGAAGGAGAAGGAAACCAAATCGTCACTGAACAAACGGCCGCTGAAGAGACTAAGGAAGCTAAGAGGAGAGGCCGTAAGAAAGGTAAATGTACATATTGGTTGCATTTTTTGCAGCACTTTTGTTTCTGTATGCTGCAGTTTTCATGATTTTTCTCTACTGGGAACCTTAGCAAGTCACAATTTTTCTCTGTTCTGTTACAGCTGCTACTGCTGCAAGCTCAGAGGAGGAGAAGGATAAGGCCAAGGAACCGAAGAAGAGGGGAAGGAGAAAAGTTAAGACTGTAGAGGAATCTAGTGATGATGATGGAGAGCATACGAGCAAAGATTTGATGCTCTATAATGAAGGAGAAGATCAGACTCAGCTACAGAATTCTGCCAACGTTCTGGAAAGT